AGGGCCTGCTCCTGCCTTCGGACTGGAGTGTTTTACCCTGTTTTTTCCCCCGGAGTTCTGGGGTGGGGGGGGAAGGGGTGATACTGGGACTCCGCTTGCGAGTCGGTCTAGTCTGGTGTGGGGCCCTCGGACAGAAGCTGCCAGCCCACTCGCCTGTCCTGGAGAGGGTCTTCTGCGGGTATAGGTCAGGGTGAGCCGGTCCCTGCAAGATGTGGGTTGGTGGTGGCGTTTGCTGCGTGGTGAAGCAAGGCGGGGGCATCTCACCAGGGGCTCTGTAGTCGCTGGTCGCTGTGGCTTTTTAATCTAGCTCCCACCAAGCTCACAAACGCGTTGTGATTTGAAGCGGTTTATCTCCATTGGATCTATTACCTGGCTTTTCCCTCCCCACAAATCCTTGGTTTTTGAACTACAGTGTGTTCAGGAAGTTTCAGCTAACTTGAAGCACATGCTGCTGGGCTGTTCAGTTAATGACACTAGTGTTGTTAATAATACGCATTAATGTTGCTTGTCTGCATTCCATACTCTTCTTGCATTTTTGGAATCTGTTTTCTGTTGGGAAGTGGTTTAACGTTCAGATTGCAAAGTCTTGTTTTGAGATATGATCCAGAAAGCCCTTTTCTGTGTACATGATCCTGCTTACTGGATTAAGTTTTGTAGTTTTATGTCCCAGATCTGTATTTGAATTGCACCCAAAGCCCCAGCAAGTGGTGGAAAGTCAGTGAGGGAAAAGCAGGGGAGTAGAAGAATAATGGCATAGGAGAGTAACTGTGCATTGCTGTTTAAATACAAGTTTCATAAGTAAGAAAACAGGGCTTGCTTCTTTGTATTTTCTCTTCCTCTTGTTTGCCTTCGTAATTTGCCCTCCTCAGCTTTTATTTCATTGCACTACTTTGTACTAGTACAGATTTTGCGGGCCAATTGTTAAACACACTTAAGTTGTTTTTTGGTTTGTTTGGTTTTGTCTGTCTACCTGTCTTTGGGAAGACTGCCTAACGGCAACAGGACTAAAGTCATAACTACAGTGGAAGTGAGTTCTCTATGATTTAGAACCTATGTATATGGATGACTTAGAAATTCACTTAATTTTTTTTCTTCTTGTTCCAGATGGGAGAGTTCATGGTTTCTGGTTTGCGTAATAGCAGAGGCTGAATAGGCATAAAGGAGACTATAGTGCGAGTGAGTGTCAAAGAAGAAGAAATGAATCCTGCAAATGATGATACAGTGTTTGGGACCACTTTTGAATGGGACTATCTCTTATGGGAAGTTCGTTTGACGTTTTTAGCTGCTGGCTTTTTAATCTACTTGGGAATATTCCTTCTGTCTCACTGGTTGTCTTCATGGATAAGTACCACTTATCGTGCCTTGTATGCAAAGGAGAAAGTGTTTTGGAATATGGCAGTCACACGTGGTGTGTTTGGACTTCAGAGTTGTGTTGCTGGGCTATGGGCTTTGCTCATAGATCCTGTTTTTCATGCTGACAAAGTATATTCACAGCAAAACTGGAGTTGGTTTAACTGTTTAATAGCTGCTGGATTTTTCTTGCTTGAAAATGTAGCTGTTCATGTGTCCAATGTTATTTTTAGAACATTTGATGCGTTCTTGGTAGCTCATCACTTGCTAGCTTTTGGTGGCTTGGCTGGTCTGGTGATTAATGTGAAATCTGGACATTATCTGCCTTTGATGGGAATGTTGCTGGAGATGAGTACTCCCTCAACATGCATTTCCTGGATGCTTCTAAAGGTAAGAACATGGTAATTTTGCCTGTAACAGTTTTCATTCTTGTCACTTGTCCATAAGTAATCTGCAAGGTTTGTCTAGATAGCTTTTCAGCAAAACTGCATTCATATAACCGGGGCCCATGTTACTGTGATACCTTCTTTTTGTCATCATGATATTTCTCAAGTTCTTCATACAGGTTTCTGTGTGATGCTGTGTGCATGTGGGTAGTGAGATGGTATAGATCTATCCTGAGTTTGGGGTGTGATGTGCATGTGGAGTATCATATCTCTGCATGGAAAAAATGCCTGAGAGCGTGTGTTCATGAAAGCTGGGTATTTGCATTAGTTCTGGAGATCCCTCAGTTCCCTGTCTTGAAGTAACAATCTCACTTCTGCATACTTTCTGTTCTTGTTTTTCTAGGCTGGCTGTGCTAACACCTTTTTCTGGAAAGCAAACCAGTGGGTGATGATCCACCTGTTTCACTGCCGCATGATTCTTACTTACCACATGTGGTGGGTGTGTATTTTCAACTGGAATTCTGTGGTGGAAAATCTGGGACTTCTTCATTTTATTGTTTTATTCTCAGGATTATTTGCCGTTACATTAATACTTAACCCATACTGGACATACAAAAAAACTCAGCAACTTCTGAACCCAACTGACTGGAATTTTGAAAACAAAGCAGTGGAAAATGGAAAATTAAATGGTGAAACACATCAAAAGAAGAGGATGTAACAGTGAAACAGCTGTTTCCTGATAGGGTATCGGAAGAATACAATGTAGACTAATTCTTTGCTTGTGAAATAGAAGCTTTTGCACAAAGTTCATTAACACAGTGATTCCTTGCTGGTAGGATTCTGTATGCACCAGAAGTATTTTAATGCACTGTTTCTGTTTCATATGTGCATACACGTAAGATAGTCAACTTGTTAGTTATGAAACACACCAACAATTTTGTCAGGTTGGACAATATTTCATGATCTAGTAGTGATGTGCTCTCTAATGGCATCCTTCATCCTAATGCTTCCAAGTGGCTTTACAGTTAATTTGTCTGTTAAGCTCAGCTTGAATCAAGTTCAGCTTGAATCCTGTTTCATATATGTCAGAGATACTGTTACTGGAAGTTAAGTTGTTTATTAAGATCAGTTATGATGCGAGTTAGGTATGCGTGGGTATACAGTTCCTGTGTGCCATTTAGTCATTCCAAATGGCTGAATTGGTCAGTGGTAGAATGCAGTCACAGCTGGGGGGTGGGATTTTGGTTTTTTCCTGGTGTTTTTTTTTTTGTTTTGGGTTTGTTTTATTTTTTCTTTTAAGTGCACTTGAGGAAGAGGAAGATAAATGTTTCAGTGTTCACTGTCAAAGTGAGTTGTAGTTTCCAGATTGCCCTTAGTATGAGGGGAGTTTATATCCACCACAATGGATGTGAGGATACAGGCCTTTATTATGCTGGTGGTCTAGCCAGGTGATCATAGCCGTCCCTTCTGGACTTGAAGACCATGAAATACAAAAGGCAACAACAGAATGTTTGACTCCCTTTCTGTGCTTGAAAAGATTGCTGGTTGATTAGTAAAATTATTTTCTTTCTAGGTCCCACGTGAGGGGTCAGGTAATTAGTTCCATTAGTGCTTCCTCTTATTTTTGGAAACTTTCTTAGTTATAGAGGGGTTTAGAACCTGAGGTGGCTCCCCTGTGGAGGAAAACCTGTATCACCTCCTTTAGGAGTTCAGTTGTTCTTCTACTATTTTTATTTTACTTCAAAGAACATACATACAAAGTGACAGTAACAATCCTTTGCACTTTATCTGCCACATCACTAAATCTCTCCCTGACCGAAGGAATAGGGTCGCTTTTTAGATAGGGACTTTGCAAATTGTGGTGGGTGTTCTCCCACTCACAGCATTGCTCTGGTGGTTCCAGGGTGAAGTGTTGGACAGCGGATGAAGGTCTAAAGATCACGACAGAAGACAGTGACGCCTAGTGGCGGGAGAATGACAAGGATATTAATTACTTTTGTGCACTGAGCTAACGAGTTTGAAACTTTGTTTTATAGTGTGATGTGACTGCTACACAGATTTATTTTCCAAAGTAGTAAGACTGGGCAAGCCCAAGCTATGAAGAGTTTTAGGTCAAGGCATGTGTTAGAGGCTTTACGTGCTGATCTGCGGTGGAGCACATTTTAAACGTGTAAGGGAAGCACTTTTTAGTGTAAACAGCACCATGTTATTAGTTTTTGGTGGAAATGTCTTTGATTTTGTTCTGAGTGAAGGGAGGAAGCTAGTGGTCAGGTTGCTGTGTTCCCTAATTCTCTGCATGTAAAGCACAGAGTTGAAGAGCTGCTCTACGAGGTAGAGGAAACTTCTAGCTATTAAGTCACAAATATTAGGCTAGATCTTGTTGATAATGGTGAAGTGGTTAATGTCTGAAACTGACCATTCAGAACCAGGCTAGTAATTTTGCACAGCAGCCGTGTCTGTTGTTCTGTTGATACTCAATAGAAGAAAATCTATTTGTGTTACCTTCTTCTAAGCAGGCCAGAAGGGGAAGTGGGGGTGAAGGGAGCAAGTGGCTTTGTGTCACTTAGTTGCCATCAGGGGTTGAACCACAACAATGTTTTGGCAGTGTAGCCTATATGGATGCCATTCTATAGAAAAAAGGGTTCTCTAAGCTTAGAATTATGTGCTTCTCCTGAGGAGTTGTGTGTGGGAGAGTAATGTTGAAACTGCTTTAGAAGAGAGCAGGGGATGAATTCCTTGGAAACAGAACCCAAATAGGTGATCCAAATAAATACCTTGCAGAATCCAAACCTCACTTGCAGGAGCTCCAGAGGAAAAGGCAGGGGTTAAGTCACCAGATATCAAAATGCTGGTGTACTCTGTGCAGCTTAAAACTGAAAGGTTTGGATTGAGTAAAATTAGGTAACAATTATAAAAATTTCAGCTATGGAATTCTGAAGAATCCTAACAGAAAATAGAAGCATTAAAAGAGAAGTAAGTTTGGGCCAGGTATGTGATTCTTATAGTGTCTGGCGGAAGGAGGTGAAGTTTCTATGCGCTAAAATAAAAGAATATATAGGGTTGGGGTTAGTAGTGAATTTGGGAGTGAAAATTGAGATTCGGTGTGGTCCAAGTGGCATCAGGCTTCTAAAGTTTAATACTTTGTTTTATTAATTTGTGTAATGTTATGTGGATTTCAATCTCTCATTAAAAGTGTTTTTTTTATTATAATAAGGATGTCTTTTCCTGCTGCATCTTAGCATGATTTCTTTTCATGAAGACTGTTATGGCATATCTCAAATCTTCGGCATGTCTCAACTATATAATTAATACATCAAAGCACCTCTTAACTTAAACATTGCTAGACCTACTAGAAAAAGGGAGCTATGCAATAAAGCAAATAACAGCACTCATTTCTATTGGTTTGAGTGCACCTTTACAGTCCACCTAAAAATAAACAGGACAAAAAATACAGACAGCCTTTATTCTTCATCTTGATGGCCTAGAGTTGGAGTTACCAGTTCTGTTACACAGAGACTTTTATTATACTTGAGTGTTTTCTTTCCTGCCTTTTGGTTGCTTCCTTAAGGGGATTTTCTGGGTTATGATTGTCTCATTGCTCTGAAACAAGACTCGAAAGGTTCTCTGACGGGGGGTTGATGTCTAATTGCCTGTATAAATAAGTGCTGATTTTCAACCCAAAGGTAGACAAGCCATAGTTTGTTTATAAATTTTGTTAACATGAAACTAACCCCAGTCCTGTTGGGCCTCTCTTGTAAGGCCTCATCTACAATCTGATGTTGGAATATTCACACTCAGCTTCAGTAGTGGCTGGATCAGGTCACAGGGTGTGCTGCTGCTGCCATGATTTGGAAAAGTCATGCATAATATCATTTTGTTGAATTTTTTGTTTGCCTAGGTGACTACTGGAGACTCCATCCTCCTTTCTTTTTGGACAAGCTTATTCAAGGAGTCCTCTTTGCATCAGCTTTCTGGGTGAACCTTTTTAAAAAAGCAAAACCAAACCCACAACAAAGAACAAACTGTGATGGGGGTGTTTGGCATTTGAGGGTTTGTTTTTTTTTTTTGGGGGGGTGTTTTTTGGGGGCTGATTGTTTCTTTGTTTGTATTTAAGAAAAATGTCTGAACTAAGACACCCTGGCCAGACATCTGGTTCTTACCATCTTCATACAGCATTCCTAAATCACAGTTTGTGTTTGCCTCCATTTGTATCCTGTCTTAGTTTTTTTCCAAAACCTGTCATCCTTTCCTTTCCCACCCACCAATCTTTCAGTAATATTTACTGTTACTTCCAGGACAGGTCATGATCTTGAAGCAGTCACGTTGCTGCAGTGATGTCTCTGTCTAATAGTTTTCAGCATGTACTGTTGGGCCCTTCCTCCACTGAATGCAATGTCCAAGTCTTTCAGGTTTTCTTGCTTTTTTCCTTGTAGCACTGATTAAATATTGATGTTACATAGAGTTATAAGACACCTTTCTTAACCTCAGGGAGACTCCCACTTAAAATGAATTTAGAAGTATTAAGCAAATTCAAGTTTGCTCTTATATAAAAATGTTTGTTGAATGGTACAGCATCTTTACACTGTGTACATAAATAAAAGTATTTTATTGAATAATTGTCTACCTGAGTTTCATTTACTTATGAAAATAATGTCTATTACTTGCTATTTGTCACATAAACAGTTTTTGCAGTGCACACACTAAAAAGATTACTTGTTATTTTGAAATACTCTTGTTAAACTTGACAAAGGTAATGTCATATCCATGTAAAATAGCTATAAAACTTTGTAAACTTCACCACCATTTAACATATTTTTACATGAACATGTTTAGTTACATGACTAAAACACTAGATGCTGCGATGTATGAAAGTATGTATTAAAAATGGTTAAAAAGGATCACTTGGAAATTATCAACAGAACAAAAACCCCAAACTTCTTTCATTGCTAAAAAACAACATACAGTTCTAAACATTCAATTTGTGTCTTGTATGGGGCTTTGAAGGAATTAATTCCTGATGTTTTATAGCATTAATGAGTTAAAGAAAAAAAGCATTGTTACTGGCATTTTTAATTATTCTTCTGAGAATGCATTGCGTAAGCAACTGGCTGGCATGATTTTGCTAGCTGATCCTGTAGTGAAGTCCCCAAGATTAACTGACGTTCATGTGTAAAGTTCCACTGTGGAATGTGTGTGGGTACAGACTGGGACGAGAAGAACAATGCATAGTAGTATTTATATGAATAAAGTCCTTTTCCTTTTTTTTCCTTTTTTTTTTTTTTAAGTATAATCTGTAAAAGGAACTTAAATGTTATTGATGTTTTGATATTCAGATGTTTTTAATTTCAGATGTTTTCAATTAGTGATCTTAAGGTCATAGAATCATAGAATAGTTAGGGTT